CTTAAGTTCTACAGTGCTTAATATTGAATTACCATAGCAGCTGTCTGTTATTTTGATTGATTTTATAGGTTTAACTTGAAGTAGTTAGTGGGTTTTTGTAGGATTTAACATATTTTCCCTAAAATATCATAAGACATACACATTTATAAAGATTAGATGGTTTGTATGCAGTTTTCAAGGCCAACAAGATAGTTATTTCTATATAAGAAACTAAAAAGATGAGCAAATTAAAATAGATTGATCGAGTTTGGTTATTTTGCTATATGATATACATAGTTTCTCATCTGTACTTAACCATAAACATAGTAATTATTTCTAGGAAATTTTAAAGTTAATTGTAATCTTTAATCCAAAGATGATTAGGGTTCATTACTAAAAAAAGTTAATTCTAATTTACATTGCTTATAAAGGTTTAAAATTGTATAGGTTTAACTTGAAGTAGTTAGTTAGTTTCTAGCAGATTCAACATATTTTCCCTAAATTTTCATAAGACATACACATTTATAATGATTAGATGGTTTGTATGCAATTTTCAAGGCCAACAAGATAGTCATTTCCATATAAAAAACGAAAAAGATGAGCAAATTTTAAACGATTAATAGAAATTGCATATAAAACTATATGATATAGATACTTTCTCATTCGTCCTTAATCATAAACATATTTATAGAATATTTTAAAGATAGTTATAATCCCTTTTCCAAAGATGATTAATCTTTTGTTGTTATAAAAGGTCAATGTCTAGTTAAATTTAAATGAAGTTTATCAGGCGCCGTATAATTACTTTACTTTCCCCAACATTTGGCTAGATTTGTATTAGTTCAAGGTTACTCCAAGGATATTCCCCACATCTCTTTACCCTTACCTTTGATTTAACCCATTTATACTCTTTCCACAGAGGGCGACGCCAACAACTACCTGACGCTCTTCAAGCGTGGAACCGTCTACTTGGCCCTCGGCAAGACCCGCTTTGCCGTCCAGGACTTCACCAGGGTGCTTGAACTAAAACCAGACTTCACGGCCGCCCGTGTGCAGCGCGGTGTGGTGCACATGAAGAGCGGCGAGTACGAGCAGGCGATCGAGGACTTTGAGCAAGTGCTACGCGAGGAACCCAACAACGGGTTGGTGCTGGAGCACTACTCCCGCTTGGCGCCCGCCCAGGAGCAATGGCAACTGGTGCAGCAGCTGGTACTGCATAGCGACCATCAAAACGCCATTTCCATGATCACACAGCTGCTGGAGATCTCGCCGTGGGCGGTGCCTTTCCGGCAGGCCCGCTCGGATGCCTACATCGCCGTCAACGATCCGCTGTCCGCCATCGCCGACCTGCGACAGGTGAACCGACTGACCCAGGACAGCACCGAGGGTCACTACAACATCGCCCAGCTGCTGTACACCATTGGACACGCCACCAATGCCCTGAAGGAGATCCGCGAGTGCCTGAAGTTCGATCCGGAGCACAAGCTCTGCTTCCCGTTCTACAAGAAGCTGCGCAAGGTGGAGAAGCAGCTGGTGAACGCGGAGCAGGCGCGCGAGGAGAAGCAGTTTGCCGAGTGCATAGCCGCCGGCGAGGCGGTGCTGCGTCACGAGCCGGAGGAGACGATGATCCGGTACGAGGGCCACAAGGTGCTCTGCAATTGCTACACCGGCGACGAGCAGTTCGGCAAAGGCGCTGCAGCAGTGCAAGGAGGCCCTGGATATTATGAAGGATGCCCAGGTGTACTGTGATCGTGCCGAGGCGCTGCTGGGCACTGAGATGTACGACGATGCCATACACTCGTACCAGGCGGCACTCGACCTGGATGAGAGCAACACGCGCGCGAAAGAGGGCATTCAGCGGGCCAAGAAGCTGCAGAAGCAGTCGGAGCGCAGGGATTACTATAAGATATTAAACGTTAAGCGCAGCGCCAGCAAACAGGAGATTGTGAAGGCCTACAGAAAGGCGGCGCAGAAGTGGCATCCCGACAACTTCCGGGACGAGGAGAAGAAGGTGGCCGAAAAGAAGTTCATCGACATTGCCGCCGCCAAGGAAGTGCTCACCGATCCCGAGAAGCGACGCCAGTTCGACCAGGGCGAGGATCCCCTCGATCCCGAGGCCAATCAGCGCGGCGGCTTCCATGGCGAGCATCCCTTCGGTCACTTCCAGCACGGATCGCCGTTCCAGTTCAAGTTCCACTTCAATTAGTCAGCCATTTGCTTTGTGATGTCCTAGCCGCGATCCCTGATATCCTTCGACGATTTTACACTGTTTGTTTTGTTCACTTGAATGGCGTGTAAATAGTAGCATAAAGCATAGAAATCCAATCCCCCAGAGAGTACCACCCACACAAATCGCAACAACACACACTGAGCACTTACATTTAATTAGTTTATTTAATACAATACAATAATTATAATGTAGTACATTTTTCTAATTATGTATAAAAAGAATTAATATGCGAAAACAAGCAATTAAAGACTTGCAAATTTGAACTGAAACTTGGAAAATGTCTGGAATTTAAAGTGGTCTTAAAATGCAGTAACCAAAACCAAATTTCAAAGTAAGGCATCTTCTTAGGAGTTGGGCGTCATGACCACATAAACCAAAGTGGCCAGCATCACCGTCACCACTAGTATGAAGTAGAATTTGAGATTATATTTCTGATCCAGCGAAATGATCAGAGCACGGAACTGCGCCATGGGCGACACCTGATCCTGCTGTCGCACGAGAGGTTTCCTGGCCAGCGGTGGAGAGCGTTTGTTTGGGAAAAAGCTGCTCCTGACGGGCGCCTGCTCCCCCTCGGATTCACTCTCCGTTTCCATGGGTTCGTCTGCATGATCTGGCTGATCGTAGAACTGATTCAGCTGCGGATAAAGCGTGTTCACTGCGGTGGTTGGCTGGAGCAGTCGTCCGCGTGCCAAGCTTGGAACACTGGGACGCTGGCGTAGAGGAGCTGGTGATGGGCCGCCAAAGGGCCGGGCGGAGCCGCTGTAAGTGTTTCTCGGCGAGACGGGCGACAGTGAGGGATTGAATCCCGAGGCCTCCAGGTAGCTGGTTGAGTTCAAATCCGATTGGGTCAGCAAAGGTCGCGAGAAACCCAATTCAGAGCGCCTGTAAGAGGATGGCTCGATGCGTGGCTCGTAGGTGGGAAGGGAGTGAAGAGAAGCAGCTGGCCTTTCGTAGGTGTAACTCCTACTGGGCAAGTCCTCCTGTTCGTACAGCGGCTGGTCCACTTCGCGGGTGTAGGAAGTGGTCAAAACTCCCGATTTGGTCAGCGAAACCGAGCGCCTGTCTTGGCGGCTTTTAATCCCCGGCGAGTCCACCATGTAGAAGTCGTCGTCCTCCGACTGGGAGCCCACATCCGAGACCGTGGTCGTGGTCTGCACAGATCTCCCCGAGATCGAGGTGTTGTCCAGTCCGTAGGCGATGGTGCGACGGCTCTGCTCGCTGATCTTGCTGCCATCGCTTCGGTGTGCACTTCTTCCGGCCGTGCGACGCACTGGCTCCGATGTGGGCGTCGCCACCTGGCTGCCGTGAACGGTTTCCCGCCTGGGTGTGGATTTCTTACTCGCAGATTTGCTTTTGTTCAGCGGCACCCCGGTGATTGCGGCCTTCAGCCGGCGAATGATGACGCTGCGCGTGCTGTCCGTCACCGGAACGCCCGGCAGGCCGAGCTGCAGGCACTTGGCCAGCAGCTCCTTGTTGGTCAACTGGTCCAGGAAAGCGGTGTCGGACATTTTAATTTCCCACAGGGTGACTGCGGCCAGCCATAGCGGGTTTCTGATTTTTCGGGACTATCGGAGCTATCGAATATTGACACTCGCAATCGACATCGAAAAATATTTTTGCAGTCTCAACTCGATTACGATCAGCCGTAATTGAAATCGAATTGAGACTGCAAAAATATATTTCGATGACTTTCGGGCGGCAGCGATATCTAGTGCCTATCGATATTTTGAGTGAGTGTTGCAAAAGGATAACTTTATTTATATTTAAGATATTTTTAATTTTCTTTTATATTTAATATTTTATTCTAACAACAATAGGTGTTTCTATGATCATTTAATCCAAAAAACAGTTTAAAAAACCAACCCGCCAGTGTTGTTAAATCTCCAAACTTGACCAGTGCTGCCAGACCGGAGTGGTCGCATTTTCGTGGTATATTTGGGCTGTCGACCAACGGTCCATGAAAACAACGTGAAGCGCAATCAAAACGTAACGAAACTCCGAACGCGCAACAGGTGTTCAATCGCAAACAACACGCTCGAATTAAACGAATCGCCGCGCGGAAAGCGCTCGCCAAGCCAAAGAAAACCCAAGTCGCTGCGTGAAAAGCAGGGGAGAGATATACGATAACAAAATAACAAAGTAAACATTGAATTTTTGGGGAAGCGGCCGAAAAACGGTAGCACCTGTTTTCCCAGCATTCCTGCGCCTTCCTTCGTTCTGCGCCTGCGCGTGTGTTTTTTATTAAGTTTCCCCTCTCGCGGGTGTTTTGAAGTTTTCGTTTTTATTTCGTTTTAACAAGCAAGTGGCTGGAAACATTCGACAATTTGCTTTTGCTAGTTGCAATTGCAGCATATTTTCCTCTCGATTCAAGCCGAGAGCAAAAGAAACAACAACAGCAGCAGCAGCATAAACATAAACCAAAAAACCGGTTAAAGCGGACAAGAGTGAGAAAGGCGCCCCAAAAGAGCAAGCGGGACAAAAACACACAGAAAACGTAAAAAAAATACCACAATAAAAAAGTGGGGGAAAAACGAAATAAAAGATATCCACAGATTTTTGGTTTTTGTTTTGAAACGCAAACAGAAAATAAGTGTGTTTGTTCTTTGCTTACCCGTGTTAACACCGAGTTCTCCCTGTAAATGCCTTATCGGCCGATCAAATCGAAAGTGAACGAGTAATTGCCTTTGGTATTTCGATATCGCTATTGCCGAAACTCTTCGCGTGGCCTCCTTCTTATCGCCCGTCCACTTTACCAGAAACAACTACCTGTTGCCGCAACGATCATCACCAGGTGAGCCATAAAATAAACCCCATTAAGGCGTCTATAAACTGCAACTTTTCCAATACGAATATTCTGTAAATAGTGATTTATGCATTAGCTGAAATATATTTAAAGGTATAAAACTCATAGGAACTCATATAAAGAGGTGATTTTGCAAAACATCGCTAGATTTTATGAGCAAAATATGCGACTACCGAAATGGTAAAAAAAAATATAACAATCTTTCTAAGTAAAAACTTTACTGAACCTATCGGTTCCAGTTCAAAGCCTAGTTTGTTCTACATTTTATTCAAAGCGAGACCTCAATAGGTCGATTCAAACCAGAGCCCACTTAAAAATAATAATAGGGTTTTGTTGAATATTTTTTAAAAAGGGGTTTCATTCTTTTTTTATTAACACAAAACTAGTCTTGGAAAATATTTTTCTCACTTTTAAAAGCATATATTAATTTTGTCACTTTGAAAGATTACAAATCGTCTTAGGCATTTGAACCTGTAATCTACCTATAAACCCATTTAGCCGGTCACCGACTATATTTGGAACACTTTGATAGAGGAGGCACGTGAGAGGCCTTGTATCGATAAGCCAATTGATTGTTAACAAAAGATTAGCCCAATACCTTGGCATTAGCCAAATTTGGGAACTCGCCCACCCTAGTTCATTGACACAACCTTTGGCTGTTTGGTTGTTTTGAACTCGCTCAACTTTCACTGAAAACGCGGCTGGGCCAAAATCGGCATAAATCAGCACGAAAACAACAAACACACACACGCGACAAGACAAGAGAAAAATGTTGTAAATGCCAAAATTGAAATGCAGCCGCAACTAAATAAAATCAAATTTGTTGCCTGCTTTTGTTTTCTCGTTTTATTTAATTTATAATTTTATTTATGTAATCCATGGTTAATTTCCAGGCATCATTAAGCCGCGGAGAAACAGTCGCTTGGAAACAAATTGAAGCACACGAGCAGATGATTATGAGATAATCAGTAAATTGCACAAGACCAAATGAAGTCATGAGAGTTGAGTGGATTGTAGTCGTCGTCGAGTGGGATTGGAATTGAGTTGGAAGCTGGGAGTCGAAAGTCGATAGAGCTCCAATTTGACACTAAATTGAATGAGATAACAGATTCGAAAATGATTTATCTATTAAATTAAATTGCATGGCGTGTGCAAAAATGAGAAGCTGAAATTGTTTTGGCCATTATATTTCAGGGAAGCCGTACCTGTTGAAATTTCCCAATAGCAAACGGCAAAACCAATTCCAATCCCATATGACTCACAGCCAAATGCATTTATTCATTCGTATCTTGCATCTACTTATCGCTAGACAAGAAAAAAACAAAATTCCTCAAAACTGAAGAAAACAAAATGCCAAATATTCCCACCAAAAAAATATATGCAGAAAATAATAATAAAAAAAAGGTAAAAAAAAAACAAAACAAAACAAAACAAGCGACAACAAAAAGTTTTATGAACAACAAAACTATGCGCATAAAAAAGTTATATAAAAAACACGTTCAGACTTCAAGCCGCTCGGTGCGAGGGGGATGGCGATATCAAGTGGGTTAGCTGCATGCATGTGTGCGTCTCAGTGTCTGTGTGAGCCACGCTTCAATTGCAAATGCGCCCAGTAAGCGAACAAAGTATGAAAAAACGTTAAAAAAGCATTGACGCAGATACGCTCGCCGTGTGTTTGTTGTTTGTTGTAATTGTAAATTCTACAGGTTTCTTGCCCGCTGTTTGTTTCATCGTGTGTGTGTGTGTGTGTTTTAGCCGTTGTTGCCTTAATGGCAGAAAAGCAAAAGCAACAACAGCAACAAGATCGCTCTGCAATTTTACGCCAAAGCTAAAAAGGCGAGCGATCGAACAGAAATCGAAGCGATCAGCACACAAAAAGAAAAATTCATTTGATTTGATAAAAATATCATTATTTAAAACCTGATTTGAAATGTAAAAATGATTGTAAATGAATACTTTGGAATAATTAATATTAATATTTATATTTAAATCAAAAATATATACTGGTTTTTAGCTGATTTCGATTTTTATACTCCGGCACTTTTGTATTTACAGAAAAAATAAAATTGTATTTAAAATATTGTATTTATTAGAAAAAGTAATAAGTCATGTAGATATCCTGTGGAAATCATGTAGAAATCATGACGATATTCAACTGCATTTCTTGCCATGCAGAATTGAATGAAAAGGATGAAAAGGAGGGAGAGGCAGTGGGTTGACAAGGAGAGGCTACTCCATTCGTAGGCAAACCGGGCCAATTGTCGATCACTGTGGGCCGAGAAGGCCAACAATGGCATTACTTAACCCCTGCAGATATCGGTGCATAAATGGCATTTCAAGAAATAACACATGGCAAAGTGGGCTCACCTTGAAAGATAATAGATTTGTGTTCATGCAAAGCAACAAACCAAAGACAATTTACAAGCTATTAAGCGCAAATTACAACCAATTATAATTGGTATAAACATAGGTGCTGTAAAATGGGTATACCATTTTTAAAAATTTTAACAAATTTTCGAAAATAAGTATGTTTTGATTTATCCAATAAATTTCATATTTATCATAGGAATTTGAATTTCAGATTTTTCTGTTTTCTTTGAGAACAAAAGTGGATAATTTTAACAAATCAATGTTAACGCAAGTAAATAAAATCAGGCAGATTTAACCACAAAATTAGGGCCTTTCTTCTTCAAAATAATTCGTTTGATTTTCGAATTCAGCCATTCATTCATTCAATTCTATTAAACTCAAAATTCAAAAAAATCATTCATTTATCATTCAATTTTTAAACTCAAAAATTCTAATTAATTCATTCATATAAAAAAAAATTCAAAATAATTCATTGGATCCATTCATGCAGGGCTCTAATAGGGACCTATAAATTCCAAAATACCACTGTGCATTGACTATGCCCGTGTTTATGCCCCAATAAAAACAACAACAACAGCAAACAGCAGCGGCGAACGTTGCAATAAGCCGAGTGGTGGTCCCCCCAAGTCGCCCCAAAGTAGCCCCAAGTCGTCGTCTTAACTTGGCCAACAGCTTGACCAACTTGGCGTTCCCCTCAGCTTGTTTCGGATCGGATTGGATCGGATCGGTTTGGTTTTTGTTTTGCTTGTGTTTTGCACTCGTATTCGTAATTGTTTCATGAAACTGGCCAACTTCAACTGGCGAGGGTGGTGGACCCGAGGGGGGTACGCAGTATAGAGTCCATTTCGGTGGGGGGATACGAAAAACTAAAAAAATAAAAACAGGTGCGCAGTGCGCAAACGCGCGCGCATTTTTGGTTTTGCTTACTGGTTTTTTCGGTGTCTCCGATTTGGGGCCAACTGTTTTTCGCTTTTAATTATGGTTCATGTGCCGCTTACGACCGTCGATCGCACAAAATGCTAAACCGTCGATCGCTGATCGGCATATACTTATCCAATATATATATCTGTGTACCCCATGTCCATACCTATAGCACAAGGTTGCCGCAAGTGACACGAGTGGAGGAGACATGTCGAGCCATTGAGGTTACTGCTAATTGTGAACTGCCTTCTGGGCGGATCGCCATGGAATTGCCTTCGGGCGAGAGCCATTGGCCAAAGTTATTGGAGTGGAAAGCCCCGATTCGAAGGTGAAGTCTCTGGCTGGCTTTCCCCTCTTAAAATCAAAAAAATCAGGCTAGAAATTCCTGCCTGGGTAAGTGCTATTTATCAGATAAGTGGGTTTGCGCCTTCCTTCATAATAGTTATTTTATAGGCCATTCCTGAATTCCTCAGGAGAAAATTCGGTTAAACACTGATCTTTTGTAGGCCTTAAACTTCGGTAATTTGACATATTCTAAAACTGCGGCGTAGTTAGGTTCTTTTATCAGCGTCTAAGGTTGCAAATCGGATCATAAATTTCTACCTAGAAAGGTACTTTTACTCCATAATTCGGTATTCAGATTAGAAAATGCAAGTAGTTCCCAAGTTCCAGAAAAAACTCTTCGTATAAGACTTCCTTTCCATAAAGTCCCTTCTTATCAGCTGTGTCGTTTTGGTTTCGCTCTGCTTACTCATCCTAATTCACCAAGTATTTTCGTGCAATTGATCCAAGTGGCTGGTGAATCATGAACAAAACCCTGTAGTAAAATAATTTTAATACCTTTCCTGCTTATCTGGTGCATGTGGCACTTTACAACGTACACCGTACGAGCTGCTCGAGAGGTAAACAATGTCAGGCGACATATCTGGGCACTATCTAGTGACCCATTTTGAGTCATCAGATAGGGACGACAAATGCATCCAACTGATTCTGATTCGCGGCCTAAAGTCAAGGCATCAAGGCATCGCGGTGCATAAGTCACACGGCGTCTTAATAAATATTAGATTGCCGCAATCGCGCTGATATACAATACACATGTATCTTAAGGTAAAAAAATACGATCGCCGAGTCAAAGACCAACGACGATCGTATCTCGAGTCGCGTTACGAGCGCACGCGTGTTTCTTGCGCCTTTGTTTTGTTTACACTCGATTGCAAGTGCAATTTGTATCTGGCGGATACATTCCGCCACATGCGCTGTGCTTTGCATAAAAAGGCCCGCTCAAATGCAGCTTAACTGTAACTGGCTGGCGGTGATGACATTTTGTATCTGCTAGATACGTAGACGCGCAGATACGCAGATACGCGGCCAGCTCAAGCGTAAATGCAATGCACGCACACTCGAAAAACAACAAACCGAAACCCTCTGGCCTTATTAATATTTATCAATTTGTTATTTAACTGGATTCGATCTCTTTGTCCGCCGGTCGAGGCAACTTTTTAGCTCTCAATTTGCATAAAGCCCGATAAAAGATACGCTTTATTTTTATAAGCCAACTCGTTTGGGATTGCTGCTTGTTTTTTAGTCGTTTTTCTGCTGTTTTTTTTTGTTGTTCAATTGCCAATTTGACCTTATTAAGTATGATTTGTAAAATACCTTGCGTGCGACTTAATTAATTGATTTGTTATAAGCTAAAA